CAGTGCTGAGCTGTCCACCCAGCAGCGGCTTAGGACCTGGGCACGTCGCTTTCCCTCTCTGGGCACCAGGACCAGTTTTTTCACCTCTTCCAGTAGAGGATCAAATTATATGTAGGTTTCTTTAACTCTAAGGTTTTATGTTTCTGCAAGGTGAGCTTATCACTCAGCACCCCAAGACGATCCTTTTTGCACCTGGGGTTTAGAGTGTGACGTACCACCTTTCTGTTTTTAGGTCCCCATCTGAGCCCTGAGGCCATCCAAGCTTCCCCCACTCGTTTGGTGACTTCACTTCTCTGTGTCTCAGTTTCTTCATCTCTAACAAGGGGAATAATGGTGATACCTCCATTGTAGGACTGTTGAGAGGATTAAATTAATGAATACATATCAAAAGCTTAGAACTATGTGCCTGGCACACAGTAGGTCCTAGTGAATGTTAGCTGGAGGTTGATACTGGCCACCTCATAATAACATTGTCAACATCTAACGTTTATTGAGGGCTTACTGGATTCCAACACAAGATATCACCTCATTTGGTGCTCATAACAATCCCCTGAGGGTTTCGCAGGGGAAGAAACAACGTCAGAGCGGGTGAGATAACGTGCCAAGGCCTCACAGCTGGTCAGGACACCATCTGATTCAACCACCATATCCAACCACTTGCTGTACCCCAGCAGTGTAACTGATAAAACCCATGGTTGACCATCCCAGGTTCCCTCCTTAATTCTGAAGAAAGCTGTAAAGATAGTTCTTTTATGAGGCTTTCTCAGCTTTTACTAGTTTTTCTTAGGAAAGTGTGTCTAAACACCCAGAGATAACCTCTCCCTCTCTATCAACTGGAAAAGGTGACTACAAAAAAGAAGAGCGTGAGGACCACCCTCTCAGGGAGATAAGAGGGCCCGGAGTGAAAGTGGTTTGTGGAACCGAGCGATGGGGCAAGATGGCCTCTTTCTCTTCACTGGGTGTCTGCGGCTCCAGCCTGGGATTTGCCCAGATGTGCGTTTTGGCTGCAGCCTCCGTCTTTGGAAGGCTGACATGAAACACCAACTCAAGGTCGCCCCTGGCATTCCAGAGCATGAGTGTGCCAGTGACTATGAGGGTGTGGGTTGCCGTGGTGTCTAACCAGCGGGCAAAGGCAGCAACGGGAATGAGTGCTTCCTTCGGATGGTCGCTGTGCTCTGAACTCTCACTTCCAAATACAGGACCCATTGTCGATGTAACTCGGAGCACGTCCGTCTCCTCTCATGCTTTAGATGTTGAACTTTAGTCAGACAAATGAAGTAATTGCAGGAGTAAAATGCCGGGATAATAGATGATGGCTGGGAAAGCTCTTCATTTGATGTACAAAGCAGTTATTAAACACGTTCGAGGACTTAGATAAATAAGGAAATCAATTGGCAATTCAGGCGAACATTGACAGAGAGGTGCCTTAGCTAAATAACTTCAGGAAAAGCATGATATTCTTTTTGGTTCAGCAGATGTTTCTAAACATTTAAATAATAATCCAAAGCAGGCTACTAGAGATTAGAGTATATCATCTATCTAATCTTTGTAAAATGGATTTGATATACTAGCATTCATACCTTTAAGTAAAACAGCTTCAAGAGCTATATTTACTTTTTAGTTATTTTATTCGCTTTAGGCTATGAGTTTCCCCCTCCATAAATTCAGCTGAAAGTGATGACTATCTAGTATCATAGATGTGCGGATGCCACGGCGAGAACAATCGATCTAGAAGCAGATGGTACTGGGACATATCAAGGGCGCCAACTCAAAGCTTTGACTATGTCCTTAAAAATAAATCTGTAGTGATCGTTAAAATTTTATAACATTCCAGGTTTGTTGTACTATCCCAGAATTTCATTCTTGATGGTGATTGGCCTACACTCTGACTAAATATTTTATTTGGCCAAAATGTCTATTCCGCGCCCCTCTGGTTTTCATAAATGTGGAGAGTGAGTGGGGGAATGGACCCCTGCAGCAAGATGTTCCCATCCTTGGGAATGATTCGGTTCTGTTCAAGAACTGTTTTCTGAGTACCCTCCAGGTCCCAAGCCCAGGGCCAGCTCCTGAAGACGGAGAGCAGGAAAGACTCTGTGCCCTGAAGTATTGGTCTTGTGGTTCTCAAACTTGACCTACAGGAGATCCTCACCCACACGCCCAGAGCCTCTGGCTTGGGAAACTGTGCTTCGAACAGCTATTCCCTGGGGATTCTGAAGCAGTTGATCCAAAGCCTAACCCTTTGAAAATCAATGGTCTAGAATTCCAGGCTAATACAGTATGGAAGGTTCGAGGGGTCCAGAGTCAGGATACTGAGCCAACTTTGGGGCCTGGGCAGACTTCGCAGAGGAGGTGACGCTTAAACAATGAGTAATGTTTAGCCAGACAAAGGAAGGTGAGTAGGTCCTCAACAGCAGAGGGGTCAGGAGGAACATAGGTACTGACACATAGACAGCGTTCCTGCAGGAAGTTCACTGTTTTCTGAAGGGCAAAGTGTAAGTTATGGAGTGATGAGCAATGAGGCTGTGAAGGAGGCAGGCGCCAAGTCACGGAGGCCCTGAGTGTTATCTGGAGAGGTGACACTCTTCTCAGAGCCAAGGGAGGGCCAGGAGGTCTTGAACTCTGCCCAAAGCAACTAATTTCCAGCCTTCCTGTTGGGAATTAAGGGCCAAAATTTATCTCCTGTGTACAGGAAGAAATTATCATAATAATGAAAGGACTGATAATAGCAACCAACAGATCAGAAAGATGACACCGTGCCAGTGCTGTCTGTGAATTATTGCATTTAGTTCTCACAATACCCCTGGGAATTAAGTACTATGATTATCCCCACTTACTGGATGAGGAAACTCAGATGGAACCAGTAATATATGCATAGTCACAAAGTTAGTATGTGGCTCTGTCCATCGGCATGGGCTAGGTTTTGCTGCAGTAACAAATGCCCTCCAAATCTCAGTGACTTCCAGCAACACAGGTGCATTTCTTGTTCATTCTGCATGTCCGCTGCAGATCGGCTGTGGCTTTAGTCCACACGGTCCCAGGCTGATAGAGTGCCCTCTGCCTGGAACATTGCCAGCCTCAGGACAGAGCAAATGGCTCCTGCACTGACTGTTAAACATTTTGCCTGAAGTGGCAACATCCTTCCCATCTACAGTTCATTGGCTAAAGCTGGTCATGGGACCATTCAGTTCAATGGCAGGGATGCGTCCTCTTTCTGGAAGGAGGATCAGGGCAAGAAGGGCTAAGTGTGTATCCGATGGATGCTGATATGCTAGCGTCACAGTAGCGGTAGGATTCAAGCCTGTGTTTACGAGGTTTGAATCCTGACCTAAGAACTCATGTTACTCACCATCCCACCTTCCACTTTGCTAGATGCGTGTGGTTCAGCCTCATCCCACACGTCTGACGGCATGAGTCTCAGTGAGGGGGAAGCCAGCACCTGTGATACACATGGAGCTATCTAGCCTTGGTTTCCGCTTCTCAACAGTGAAGCAACTGACCAGTGCTGAGCTGTCCACCCAGCAGCGGCTTAGGACCAAAGTGGGTTGAGGCGAGCTGGCAGAGCACCAAAAAGCATAGCAGGTGCCCGAAGGCCCAGTCCAGATCCCATGCCTTTTTGATGACTGGAGGATAGACTGGTTCTCACCACCTGTGTGTGGTTCATGAGGAAAGAGATGGGAGGGAGGCAAGTATTGGTTAGTACTGCCCAGAAGGGCCCGCACGTGGTCCATGCCCAGTAAACATGCGTTGCCCAGATGGATGAAGAAGGAATGCATTTAATCTTCACGCACCGACTACCTTAAGAGGTAGATGTTATTATCCCCATTTTACAAAAGAGGAAACTGAGGCACGGGACAATGCAAGAGAAAGACAAAAGAGCCACCGTTTTAATGCCCACTCAGGGTGCCCTTATGCCACGTGCTTGGCAGACTTTCTCTTCATTGATCCCTACAAGCCTTCAGGTGGTGGGTACTATTAGCCCTTCGTTTGTGTGTCATATGGGGACAATAATAAAACTGCTCCTAGGATAAGATAAACCACGTGAAGTACAAAGCACGGTAGCTGGCATACAGGAATTCCTCAATAAATATTAACTATTCCCTTTATTATCATCATCACCTGCTATCACTCTACCTACCGAATTGTCCAAACTCCAACTTCAGTTCAGAGTTCGCACTCGTCGTGACCGCCCCAGTCAGCTCCTCATTGTCCCAAAGCACTGAAGGGTGGGTGTCTGACAGGAAACCGGGGCTTAGTGACACTCCTGAGCACTCACAGCGGCCATGCCAGGGATTCTTCAGACCCCCAATTCCCTCTAAATGCTTCCCTTCTGCTACATTTTATAGTTTTTAAATTTCAAGCCTGAATGGTCTAACGATTGCCCCCAGGCCAAGGTCTCCAGGACAGACATTTCACTCACCCACCTTTGAAATGATTATTCTGAAGGAAATTCGTTTCCAAACATCCCAGAGGGAGACAAGCTCAGATGGCAGAGTTGAAGGGGCGTGGGAAGGACAGGAAGAAGGGAGGTGATGAAGTCCGATGCTATTTGGAACTATCTTTGTGCTTCTTTTGCTGCTGCTGTTATTATTATTATTATTATTTTTGTCTTTTCATTATTCAAATTGCAACCCTGTTAGGATGGATCCGTTGGGTAAGTAGCACATCCCACGCACTGGGATTCCCCCTGCTGGATTTTAGAATGTTTTCAGCTTTTTAAAATCATTGATGGGCCCAGGGTGACTTTTGATACCTGCCTCTGCATGACAGAGTGCCCAGCACTGATCCCAGTTTGGGGGTTGGTGAGGCGGGGAGGCCTCAGAGGGCCCCAGGCACAGCCAGCCCTAAAGACCATCCTCTTCTCTCCCAGAATGGCTGAGGCGTCCCGGAAGAAGAAAGAAAACCGGAGGAAATGGAAGCGCTACCTCCTGATAGGCCTGGCGACCGTTGGAGGAGGGACAGTGATCGGTAAGGCCAGCTCGAGGTGAGATGGTGGCACATGGGATGACACCAGGCTGGGAGCAAGAGTGGAGAGTGCAGAGGATCTGCTGGGAGGTGGCCCCGGGCGCATAGTAGGTGCTCCGTCAGCAGTGTGTATGTTAGTGTTGTCAGCAGCCTCCATGGAAGGTGGTGGGCAGCTAATGGAGGAAGAACCCAGCAGGCCATGTCCTCACTCCCACCTTTACCCACCATGGGCTGCTCTCCTTGCAGGTGTGACCGGGGGTCTAGCTGCCCCTTTTGTTGCCGCCGGAGCTGCAACAATCATTGGCAGTGCGGGCGCAGCGGCTCTGGGCTCAGTGGCCGGCATAGCTGTCATGACCTCGCTGTTCGGTGCAGCCGGAGCTGGCCTCACAGGTACGGTTCAAAAGCAGTGGTGGACTGTGAGGGATTTCCAGCCAGGGTGGCCCAGCTCCTAAAGGACATGCCTCGATTCTCCCCAGTGATGGCTCCCCAGGAGATGGAGGGGGAGGGTATGGCTTTTCTCATGCTGGGTCCCAGCCCTGCCAGAACTTGCAGCAAGCGGACTTCAGAGAGAACTGGGTCCGGATCAGGGCTGAGCTTGGGAAAATGCGCCCTGTGTAGACTTCCTGAGAAGGGTCTGATTGGACCTGCTTGTCCCTGTTTAGGAAGTTTCCAGACAGGCTGCCTCAGAGACACTAACTAGGGCTTCCCCGTGTGAGAGAGCACATGGCCACCCTTCATTCACCCGCATCACCTGGGGGAGTTTTTCCAAATCATCTGTGTCAGCAGCCCCCCAATCCCGCACAGAGACTCCCACTCCACTCCTCAAGTGGAGACTCTCAGCTTCCCGCGTTGAGAATCTTGGTCCGTTCGATCCACTGTTACTGAGAGAAACGAGTTGTCCCCGTGAGGTGTGTGGGCAGGAAAACGACACAGAAGCGACTGCGTCGGGGCAGAGTGGTGGGCGTGAGCCTGGGCTCTGAGTTCCAGCCCCGGCCCTGCCACGCGGGCGCCTGGAAGCCTCGTACCCTCATCCGTAGCTGGGGACGGTAATGGCACCTACCTTAATGAGTTCCAAAATGAGATGTTTGTCCAGGGGCAGGGCACAGGGTTGGCGCTCACTGTGTGAGAGTGTGAGCACAGAGTCCCTCTGACCCACATTCCCTGGGGTCCCCAGTCACCTCCAGCCTCATTTTTGTATCTGGGTCTTTAGGCTACAAGATGAAGAAGCGTGTTGGAGCCATTGAAGAGTTCACATTTCTGCCTCTGACGGAAGGCAGGCAGCTGCATGTCACCATCGCCATCACAGGCTGGCTGGCCTCTGGCAAATACCGTGAGGACCAGGGGCAGGGGTGGGAGGGAGGGTGGGCATTGGCTGAGCTGGGCCTGCTGCTCTGGGCCAGACCCTGACCTAGGCTCTTGCCTGTGAATGTCTTTAGAGGATGGGTAGGGGAGCCCCGTTTTGCAGAGAAGGAACCCGAGGCTCAGAGAGGTGAAGAGACTTTATCCCATATCCATCTACTCATCCATTTATATGCCATCTATCTATTCAACTATCTACCCATCCACCCATCTATCTACACATCTGTCCATCCATTCATCCATCTATCCATCCATCCATCCATTTATCCATCCACACACCCATCCATCCATCCATTCGCCCACCCATCCACCCATCCATCCACCCACCCATCCATCCATCCCTCAATTCACCTCCCCATTCACCCATGCATCCATCCATTCAGCAATATTTATAGGGTACTACGTGCACCGTGTGCCAGACACTGAGCCAGGCCCTAGGAATTTAGTAGTGAGAAGCATAGCCATGAAACATCTAGTCTGAGGCAGGGAAGCTTTGTGGATGGCACAATAGGGGAAGCACAGAGTATTTCTGGGAAATGAGGGAACGGTTCTAGAGGAAGTAACATTTAGGCTAAGGACTGGCTGGGAATTGGCTAGGTAAAGAAGGAGTAAGAAATGTGTATACCAAGAAAAGGGACAGCATGTACAAAGGCCCAGTAGTGCAAAAGAACCAAAAGGAGCACAGACAGCTGAAGCTAAGAGCTAGAAGGCAGGAGGATAGAGGATAGGCAAGGCCAGATCACCTGGGAGCATGTGAGGCGAGGAGTTTGAATTTATTCTCAGAGTAAGGGGAAGATAGCAAAGAATTTAAGCTCATAGGTGAGAGATAAGCACACCCTGGCTGTGTGACCTCAAGCAAATTACTTAACCTTTCTGTGCCTCAGTTGCTTCATTTGTAAAGTGAAACAAATTATTCCTGCCTTTCAAGGTACTTACACACAAAGATTAATTTAAACAAGGTAACATGTGGAAGGCACCCGGTTTCTAATTGGCATCCCACAAACATTAGCTCCCTTTGCTGCTCTAACTTGAATGTGTGGGTTTTGGGGGATTCCACCAAGGTGGTATTGAGAACTAACACCCTGGTCTGCTCAGTGCCTGGCTCACGTTTGCAAGTGCCCAGTGTGAGGCTCCGTGAACTGTTCATCACTCAGAGGGAGAGCCGGTGGGTTGGGCCAAGAGACCCAGAGCATCCCAGCCAGACACACATGCTCAGAGCCTCCTGGTTCCCAGATCCCTAGAACCCAAGGGTAGACGCCAAGCTCTTCTAAATGACACAGAAGAAAGCAAGTGAGAAAATGTCCAGGCTCCGTTTAGAGGCAGGCACCCAAGTCTTATTGGTGTGTGACTGCCAGGCCCCATCCCCACACACAGTAGGTCTCTAACATTAACTGAGCACTTAGTATGGGCGCCTGCCCTGAGTCAGGCATTTTACCCACACAGTAGGAACTTGATATGCATCATGCATCACCTTGTGTGATCCTCGCATACACCCCCGAGGTGGGGACTCTGTCTGCTCCACCAACAGCTGCCACTCATTGGGAGGGGGTGGGCCTCTTGTCTCCCTACAAGGGGAGTGGTCCCCTGTTGCTGCCTATCTGGGAAAGGGGTGGGGCATCCTCTATCACAGACAGGAGAGACCCCACCTATCTGTGTCTTCCCAGGAACCTTCAGTGCTCCGTGGGCTGCCCTGGCCCGTAGCCGTGAGCAGTACTGCCTGGCCTGGGAGGCCAAGTACCTGATGGAGCTAGGCAACGCCCTGGAGACCATCCTCAGTGGTCTGGCCAACATGGTGGCCCAGGAGGCCCTAAAGTACACAGTGTTGTCTGGTAAGTGTCCCCGTCCCCGCGGCCAGAACATGCCCACTGCTCCCAACCCACGCTGGTACCATACCTTAGCATGCCTGAGGCCACCGCTGAGCCAGGCACTGTGCTGGGCCCTGGGAACATGGAAAAGCTAAGGCTACATGCCTGACTGCGAGACAAGTGTGGTCTTCATGGGGAGGGGGCAGGTAAACAGCCAATAACATTATCACATAATGGATCAGTTAGGTGTTGTTACGTGAGTAGCCACCCCAAAACTCACTGACTTAACAATCATTTATCCTAATAGCTCAGGGGTCATGAGGCTTCACTTGGCTGATCTTTGCTGGGCCTGC